GTCGATACGAATAAAAGTCAAATTACATCGTAAGAATTTATAGAATTTGTTTGTTCAACAAAGAACAAAATGAAAGAGAAAAAGTATAGAACTCAACGTGCTCTCTCTCTCACTGTACCGATTGACGAAACTGAAAGAAATACTCGAAAAATAAATTGCCATCCAGAAGTTTTGTTTCGAGCAGAAGTAACAAACATTTTTGGTTGGTTGCTCATTCAAAAACGTGTTTATGCGCGATCAAAATTTCAAATTAATTTCGCCAGAATAATTTTCAGAAGGGATACACAAAAAAGAACCATAGAAAGAACGAAAAAAGTTGACTTTTTCATGTTGGTTTTCTTTATATCCACCACCTCTCCTCTCCTCCCTCTCTCTCTCTCTTCTCTTGTTCTCCTTTTATTTAATTTTTTTTGTGTGCGTTTTGTGTTGTGCAACAAAATTGCTAATGAATTGTGGAACAAAATGAGCATAAGCAGTAACGACATCGAACCTCTGCTTTAAAGAGTTTCATGATATATATAAAGAGAGCGAAGGAGAATTGTGTCTATGCAGGGAGCACAAGGACTTGGAACCATCATATAACCGACTATTGTTCAACTATTTTACGACAAACCATGCACATTTTTAATTAGGCCCCGGTGAATGTGTATTCACTATTGTCAAAGAGATACAGCGAAAAGCGTCGAAAGCACAAAAGAAAATTAGAACAAAAAAAACCAGTAACACACAGGGATTCCCATGAATACGAAAGCATAGAAAACACACAAATTACGCTTGTACACCGCAAAACGGCAAGCGTGTTGTGTTCTCGTTACAAAAATATTAATATGAACATTTTCCGAAATAATCATCATTGCTCTTTTCTCATAACCTTTTCCCCTATGTAATTAGTATACTTTTCTCAATATATTCGAATTCTCGTTTTGTGGTTATGGAAATCATTTTGTGTGATGGTGTGTTTGCTTTTATATTTGAGCATGTGTGTGTGCGCGCTATGTTTTGGATATGACCAAACGAGTGAAATTGTTCTTTGAGGTTTGTCATTTTTTTCTCCCTTTCTTTGGGTTCCAAGAAGAAATGTGATTGAAGCGGTCTTTAGATCAAAATTATAATGGACGACAAATGGAATAACGGATCTAGGCTATATGAAACTGAATCGATACTATTACATAATTTGCAACTACAAAATAAAGCTAGCAATCAATAGATGAACATATGGTTTTATGGGCGGCACATAGAATATAGAATATATGGAATATAAATGTGAAATATACGTTAGACATTTCGATTTAAAAGTCTTGGAACGTATATAATATAAGAGAAGAAGAGGGGAGTAGTAACATGTTGAAAACATTTTCAAAATTGTTAATAATTGTTATGATAAATACTTTTTAATGGGTGTAAAGTAGAAAATGACATTTTTGCAAATCAATGGAAAAGTGGTTGAACTCGCACCTGCTTTAAAGATGAGGAATTTGAGTGTATTTCTTTCTTTTTTTTTAAATGCACATCTCGCTCTTGTTTGCCTCTTTTTCAGTTGAAGATTTTAATTAAAAATTATAGCTGAAGTTAGGAAATTAAAATTATTCAAGAGATGACACTTGTTTAGCACCAACAATTAAAACTACGAAATATTTAAAATAAGCTACGCATTTCGTGTCATCACAAGCAAGTGGACAAAAACCGGTTATAATAATTAAATGCATTTCAAAACTGAACTAAAAGCTTCCCTTCAAACGATTGCAGCGTGCATACAGCATACACACGAACATGTATAAAATGATACATTCGCTGTTTGCTCTTAAGAAATTATAGGAATGTACGCGCGTTCTATATTGAAATGGCCAGCAAAATTGGATTTTCACTGCAAAAGCATATGTAGTCATGTTGTTCGGTTCATACTATTTGCTAGAACTCTGAACTCGTCAACTTCTTATTTAATGTAATTATCAAAGTGGTTGTTCTACTTGAGCTGCTGAGTGTATATATGTTATGCAACCCGTCATATACAACAATGTATATGGTTGCACATGCAAGTGAACCAGTGCAAAGCAACTACCGAACCGACATATTACAATTAAACGGACTAAATGCATTTGTGTTGAATGATTACAAATACGTTATAGGGGAAGCTTAATTGTATTATTGTGCGTTTTATCTATAACAATTTCATTAGATTGCCAAGCGCATTGCATCGTTTCGTCTTTGTTATTTGGTGTTAAGCGAACGAGACTACATAATAAAATGTCAGTGTGTAACGTAAACCATGTATGCTGTTGATGCAAATATATACTATCGAATATTGCATGACAACGATAAAGAGAGACAGAACTATATGATATGTAATGACTTGATGCTCTTAACGCTTTCAAAAGTAAAATTGTATACGAAACGCTGGAACACTTTCTGTCTTCATTCAACTTTTGTTCGTATTGGGTCCAAAGCACGATGGGATTAATGTTAACATTGTATAGTCTGAAAAAAAGTCAGTATACGTCTCTTATTCACGACATCCATACGATGTGTATTAATAACAGTATCCGCTGATTCTACGGTAAGATTCTTGATGAGCGAATGTGGCGATTACGGGCAAAGTAAATGAACCGATAATTGAATACATCGTATATAGTACGATGGCACAATGGTCGGTTAGTCTGTGTCAGTGCGATGTGTTTTCTTTGTTATCTGATATGTGTGGCAAAATGATTCGTCGACCACCCATCTATTAACGAAAACTATATTATTGATTGTAGACAATGCCTCATTGTGATATGAACTCGTCAATCTGTTGCAATGATGCCTATCAATTTTCCATTTTCTCCAGTTCACTATTGTGACCGACTTGTATAATGTACATTGTACTACCCTTCGCAACTTCAATTTTGATGAAAATTGTGTCGATTCGAAAATAACAACACGCTTTAATAGGAAAAAAGGAAAGCGCAAAGAAAGCCAGTCGCTTAATTCCATGCTAATGATTGTGAGGTATCGTATTTTGTAAATTCCATTGTTACTCGCCGAAGAATGGAATTAATACGCGCCGATTGCCAAATAAATTATTCAGATATTAATCAAACATCAAAATGAGCGGTTTTTCGGACAAATTCCACAGATTGTCACAATGGTTTAAGTGGTATCTATACCACAAACTACTGTGACTATTGCCAGAATGGTTGTATTATAGTGGTGGATAATAACTATGTATTGGTTAAAGTATTAACACACAAACATAAACAAATTATATTAGAAATGAAAAATAAAGAGAAAAAAAATGTAAGAGAAATGTTGTGGCGATATTTATGTTGAACTGTAGAATGAAATTTGCTGCCGTATGGAATTTGGTCGACCTGATATTCCGATCGCATTCGCATCAACTAGTAAACTATTTCGAACAATTTACTCACAATAGCTTGGTGCATCATATCGTGTGCAGTCAGTGCAGTGTGCAAAATAGTAAAAAAGGCCGATTACGTTGAATAAAGGATATACTATATAGATATATGTAAGTCTCACATTTTTGTTTAGGTTTGCCTATCGATTTTCTACTTGAATGGTCGGCATTGTTACAATTTGAGCCGAAACCTTTTTCTCATCCTTTGCTTGAATTTAGTAGTTGTTTTTGTTTCTCCGAACGAAAGCGGTTCTATTGAAACCACCACAAGAGCATATATTAACGAATATCTTTCAATTCAATGAAAACGAAATTCTTTTCTGATTGAAAATTCATGCAAACACTACACACTGTTGTAAGAGAGTTTGCTAAATAAACGTGGAAGGTTTTGACTTCAATTCGACAATATGCTAGATTTAGAAAAGTTGATCGCTTTTCTGATATTATTGTTGTTTTGGTATGCCAATATCCTCGTGCTCATATTTTGGTTCGATATTGTATCCATCGTAAACGACGAATAATGTCTGCGTGCAGATATAGCAAAGCTCAGAGAGTTGATCAGTGGCATCGATGCATCGATGCATCGGATTAATTTTGTAGGCATGGCTTATCTCTCTCTCTCTCTCTCTCTCTCTCTCTCTCTTTTTCGTTTCATAAGTCGTTTTTGATATGAAATGTGGAATGAGAAAAATGATGGGACCTGCTTTGTAATCACTGTCGCCCCGTTTATTCGTTCGTTCTGTAGAAAACGTGCCAAATGCCAAACATTTTTCGAATGAACAGACAGCTACGGCACTACATATTAAAATAGTTTGATGATAGACAAAGCCTTTCTTTATATAAAAAAAGAGCAGAGATAGGAGAGGTGAATTAAAAAAATAGAATGAACGAACGAACAAACGAACCATTTTCAATCGGCTACTGTTTTATCATTTTGAAGGGAAATGGGCGCACTGACAGCATGCTTTTGTTCATTCTGGTAGACGACATACCATGATTACATGATTATAGCTTTTTAGCATTGAAGTTTTCCTCCGGAAAAATTATTGTTACAAAATATGTAAATGCAAAACTGTTGCTGAATGAATCGAAAGGCAGTTGATGCTGTTGAGTGTTGTTGGTTGCTACTATTTGCCACTGATGCTATTGACTACAAATGGTGCCATTGCTTTTGCGGCCAGTATGCTACTCTATCTGGCACATCTACATGCACATACACATAGATATCATCGATCTGTATAGATAAATATATACATATTCGGGTTGGCCGGCAGTCGGCATTGTAGACATTCCAATATATCAACAGCAATTTTGTTGTTTCATTTCCATTATATACACATTTTATATATACACAAAATTGTGAACACAATAATTGCACAATGTTGCAATTATAATTTTCAATAAATGAGATGAAATGCATTTAGATGGGCCCATATACGCAAAGCACATTATATAGTACATGGACATAATCTATCGACAGCCTGGCCCTAATGATTTAATGTAAAACTATTTTCCATAACTGTAATATTTTGAATATAAGAGGCGAAGAAATTCAATGATATTAAATTGGCGCATAACATAATTATTAAAATGTGTTTTGTTGTTTCAGGCGGAGTTTTGTATGTACACTGCAACTTAATATACAGTTCGCTGGTCTTTGTCCCGCTGTAGAAATTTTGCTGGTGCTGGTTCTGCTGATGCTGCTGCTGCTGCTGCCTCTATAAATGTGAGTGAATATGCGTAGTTAGTTACCGGTTCTATGCTTCCGGTACGAACTAACAATACGTGCATATAAATTAATTTTCCCATATTATCCATATAGATGATGATTATATGCGCATATTTGTTGAATAAAAGTGAGTCTTTTATTGTTGTCACAGTGAATCTTTTAATCAACGACCGAAAGAGGAATAAAAAAAATTGTTTTACATCTACATCGATTATGTTATTACTTTTCCACAGATGCGGGTTGCTCTTTTCATTTCCCTCTCTATCTTTCTCTTTCTCTCTATTTCCGTCTTTTTCCCAATCTATTGGGATTGCTTTAGCAATATCATTTAATGTAACGAATGCCATTACAAATTGATGAATCAATCCGCGTGCATTCCATTCCATTCAATTTCCGAATGATTTAAATATTTCTAGCACAGACATTTTAAAACCACAACATAAAGCATGTACTCAGTGCAATTGTGACAAATCCAACTTGTGAGGATGAGGAGGAATATGAAAAATGTTTCGATTTATCCTTACATTTTTACTTGGAACGTGAATTGCAATGCAGCGTTCTCTGCTACGTCAAATACAATATTTTTTTCTTCAATACGATCGTTCCATATGAAATTTTAAGCCATGTTTTTTAAATTTTAAGTCTGTTTGCATGGTTTTGTGTGAAAATTGTGCCTCCATATGAATTCTGCAAATATTTTTTACATGATTTAGACAAAATGTCAATTGATGATGCCATGATTCTCTACCGTCCTTCAATGTTTTTAAGCAAAAATTCGAATAAGGGCTCAAAAAATTTAAATTCCATATGGAATGGTCGAATATAAAAATTGGATTGTTGCTCAAATTTAAAGACAATAACCAGAATGCATATATTCCAAAGATATTGCAACGTTTGTATCGATCTCTGTCTCTCGTTCCCTTTATTTAAAAACAGACATACTCAAAGTATTCGTTTTCAAAAGCCCTTTAGTTTCGCCAGAAATTTGGGAATTGCAGTTTGTGTTTCTGTCTCTATTTATATAACTTTGCCTCTTTCTTCTGTATACATAGCTCTTGTCTGTAGCGCTGTATTCCCAAATCGGTATTTTTTTACCTTCATGCATGCAACTTACAAGATATGCATATTTCATATTCAAACAATAACCGAAAAATAAGGAAGAGAAAACGAAAACAGAAGATTCTATCGCGGATTCTTCTTCAAATTTTCCCAATAGCATCCAAATTTAACATTCGTCACTTTCTCTTCCAAGCTGCATAAGAACACATTTTTATGCTTCCCGTATAATGAGATAGTGAAACAATAGCGTGCTCAAACAGAGCGTTAAAGAAAGCAATTCAAAAATATCATTTTTTTTTACTTAACTTGTTTCAAAAATGGAATTTCCTTTCGAATCCAACATGTTCCATCAGTTATGTGAAGATTTTGTTTGGAAAAAGTGATTCGGTTTTCTTTTTTCGTAAACATTTTATTCATTGGACATTTGAAAAATACGATAAATAGATATCGTTGCGCCATGGTTGTCTCATGGGAAAATTTGAAAATGTGACGAGAAATTGTAAAAATGTTTTTTTTGTATGTTGTGTCAGTCAATGTATGGAAAATTGTATCATGTTATAATGAAGCATAGAAAATGTGTTCATTTTGATCGCTCATTCTTTTTTTTTCTCTTTCTTCTTCTTCTTCTTCTGCACTATTGTGCATTCAAGTGCATGAAATTTTCAAAAAATATCGGTAAAATACACGCCACGAATATGTTGAATGCATTGATGAAGCGGTAAATTGATATTATGCATACATCCATAAATATTGGACACAAGTAATAATAAAGACCTGACAATGGCATGGAACGAAACTGAACAACACAAACCAAATGACAACAAACAAAACACTTGCACATAATTCCAGGTTTTTACTATGTGCTCATCTTGTGTTGCACTACGATAAGGCTGATACCATTTTCATTCGATCTTATACTTGGACTTGGTGTTTTTATATATGTATTTCTTATTGCTATTCTGCACATTGTTATTGTTAAGCGGGAATACATGCTATGAGCTGTTGTGTGTACATTTGACACCTTTTTGATGTTATTTCGCATTCTGTGTGTTTTCCATTGAAATTCATATATGCAGAGCAAAACGATTGTGCTTCTTGGCTTCATAAAAATATATAAACACACATACACACACACACACACATATCCACAAACAATGAGACTGGGAGAACGAATAAACGAACGGATACAACAGCAAACATACTCTACAAACTGCGTGAATAGTCGATTTGAGATACACATTTTGGGCATGAATTCAATGGTTCTGTTGTCGTTGTACAAACCAACCAAAGAACAACAACAATAATAATAACGATAGACTCAGGATGGCCATTATCGAGTGCACTCCATCCAAAGCACTTGATAAACTTGCTTACGAAATGAAATGCATGGGAAATTGGTGTTTCTGGGCCATGCACATTGAGGTGAGATGACTCGACGACAACATTCAGACCAACAACAAAAAACCAGTGTGTGAGTGAGTGAAATGTTTCATAATAAGGAAACACCACATATTCGAGGGGATATTGTTTCATATTTGAATGGCACATTCTTATTCTTCGTATGCGTTTTATCGTTGCGTTTCTGTAAGTTATTGCGCTTGAATAATTCAGTTTAGTGTGTCTTAGTTTGTTGGTGTACTGACGTGAATATTTATTTCATCCAAAAATAACATCATTCCCTTCGAATCCAATTGTCATCTGTTGTATAAACATATAGTTAAATACAATTCGAAAGATGCTAGTGACACATCTTTTTTGCTTTTAATTTAGGCCAAGTACACAGAAATAAGAAAATAGCTATAAAATTTGAACAAGATTTAATGAACAGAACAAGGAATGATAAAGGCGTCAAACTCTTGTGAAAGATGTTTGTTTGGATGGCATATACCTAGGAAATATATCAAAACAATATTTCATACTTCGATTTAGTACCGTCATATGCACGGTAAACTCCCATGTTTGTGTGCACAACATGTAAAAGAACACTTGCAAATTTTCGAGTCTGAGCAGTATTCGTCATAAAAAAAAATATTTTTCTTTCGTTCGAAATAAGTGGGTGTTGCACAGCGGAATCTACTTATGAAAATTGAAAACAATGGTCGTCTTTTATTCTGTATCGAAGAATAAATTTTTTTTCCAGGTATATGATATCACATTTTCTTTCTTTTGTTTCAAAAATTATAATAATATTTCGCGTATTTCTATTGTTTATTCTGTAAAAATGGCCCTTGTTATTACCATGAATGAGGCGAAGAATACATACTTGGTGTTAACGTTTCAGTTTGCCGAAAAAAATGGTTATTTTGTGCTCTGCAGAAAATAGATGATAATAAAATACATAATATAAATGATGATTCAAGCTGGAGCGTAACAACTCCGGCCAATTCAAAGAGATAGAGAGGGAGAAGTATGAAAATAAAAAAGAGCCAAAAAATGTTTTAACTTCAAGTATATTATAAGGCCGGTGAGCCCATAGTTTTCGAGTCATTGTCGTCATGATGATACGTGTGACAAAAAAAAAACAACAACGGAAAAGTTTCCTGAGACGGAAAACTGACAGGAAGAAGCAATACAAACAGATAGAGAGAAAACAACAAGCCAAGCAAAGAAGAGAAAATATATTATTTAAATGAGAATTGAAAAAAAATTTCTACAGTGTAGAATATTCATGTACAAGTATGGTACAACAGTGCAGTTTGTGTGTGTGTGTGTGTGTGTGCACATTTTGTATATGCCTCTAAATTTTATATGGGAATGATTATATACTTGAGAATGAGATAAACACGACAAAAATAATTTACACGAATGTGAAAAGAACAAAACCATTCATATGTGTGAACGAAGTACGCCAGCATTAAAAAAATATAAATTCAAATGCAACAAAACGAGTAACCATAAACTAATATCCAAATATTCAATACGAAATCCGGCCAGTAAAAAACGAATGAGCAAAAAATGAGATCTGATCATATGGAAATATAAAAAAGCCATACATGTCGCACAGACGAAAAACTTTACTGTGAACGCAACACAATCCGTCGATTCATTTTAACCCGCGGTTCTATCAGACCTTTTTTCGGTTTGCCCGTTCATTGTGTATTGTATGCAGTGTGCACTAATAGCAGCAAAAAAACTGCCATATAAAAGAGATATATGCATACATACACGGAGATGCATAAACAGAAAAAGAGAAAAATATAGAGGTAGAAAAAAATTGATTGCTCAGGTAGTTGGAAAATACGATGAAAGGCTACGCGACGACTCAAACAAGCCAAATAAAAAAAATGATAAAATAATGAAAGCAAAAGGCAAGAAAACAACCTAAATCTCTATTTGAAAGCGTAAAAATGCTAAAATCACATGTGCACTGTACACCATTCAAGTCAATTTTTTCTGGTGTATATTTATTTAGCTTACCTGAATGTCGACTGTCTTACCATCCCCACTACCACGCAGATTGCGCTCACGAATTGAGGCTCAGAATTGAGCCTGATTTACCTTCCGCTTACACTTTACCCATTCCAGTGTCTTTTGCACGTATGCCAAAAGTGTTTTCCATTTCTTATGCCATCGTCATAGGTGCCTATCACATTTATACAAATTCAAATTGTGTGTATTTTTTGTGCTCCTCACAGGCTCTAGCTCATTCTCTTTTCCCAGCTCTCTCTCTATCTCTCTCTCTTGTTGTGAGAAGTTTTCTATTGTAATGTGCCATATGCAAATATAAACGTTCATGTTGCGTCTTTTCGTGAAACGCTTATGTTAAACCATAAGAAATGTATCAACAGCAATTGTCTGTCGTGCTTCTCTTGAAGCATAAAAAGTACTGCCTGTGTTCGCAGGCCGCCACGAAGATAAAAAAAACCATCTTGGTGTTACTTGCAACACTTGTATATTTTCGTGCTTGTTTTTTGACACATTCGATTTTTTTTTTATTT